AGGGGACTGCTCAAGTATGTTGTAGAATTACCCTCTATCAGAATTTGTCTGATATTTTTCTCATGACTAGAGTGCCTTACAGGTTTAGGGGAGGAAGGCCACAGAGGTAAAATGCTATTTTAATTATGTCATATCAAGTGTACATACTATGAACTCTTATGTCTACATAGGATACATTTGTAATACAGTTAGATTTTCAGGTTTCAGACTGCACTCCTTGGCAACCTCTGTCTCCTAAATAATTTTTTTTCTTAAATGTTTATTTATTTTGAGAGACAGCACATGTGCAAGTAAGAGACGGGCAGAGAGAGAATCCCAAGCAGGCTCTGCACTGTCCTGTCAGCGCAGAGCCCAAGGGGCTTGATCTCACAAACCATGAGATATTGACCTGAGCCAATATCAAGGGTTGGACGATTAACCAACAGAGCGAGCTACCCAGGTGCCCCAATAATTTCTTGAATTGTGTACTTGAAGATTCACTTTATGTGCTATAAATCTCTATACATTTTGACAAATGTGTAAGGTCACTTAGCAACCATTACAGTATCATACAGAATAGTTTCATTGCCCTAAAAATCCCCTGTGTCTCACCTGTTCAACTCTCCTGGCTACTCCTCAACCCCTGGACACCACTGATATTTCTACTGTCTCTATGGTTTTACCTTTTCCAAAATGGTATATACTTGGAATCACACAGTGTGTAGCCTTCTTAGTTTGGATTCTTTCACTTAGCAATATGTATTCCATATTTATCCATGGTTTGTATGTGTGTGCATGATTTGATAGTTCGTTTCTTTTTATCGCTGGATCATATTCTGTTGTATAGATACTACAGTTTACTCATTTACCTATTGAAGTCATGTTGGTGCTTTCAGTTTTTGGTGATGATGAATATGCTGCTCTAAACATTTACCTGTAGATTTTTATGTAGATATAACTTTTCAAATCAGCTGGGTGAATACCTAAGAGCACAAGCGCTGGATCCCATGGTAAGAATATGTGTAGGTTTGTTAAGAAACTGCCAACTCTCTTCCAAAGTGGCTCTATCATTTTGCATTCCAATCAACAATGAATCAGAATTCCTGCTGCTCCATACCCTCACCGACGTTTAGTATTGTATATATATTTTTTAAATATTAGCCATTCTAATAGGTGTGTCGTGGAAGCTCATTATTATTTTAATTGGCAATTTTCTAACAAGAGATTTTGTGCATCCTTTCATGTGCTTATTTGCCAATTATATATCTTTTTTTGGTGAGGTGTCCATTTGGATTTTTTGCCTATTTTTACATTGTATTGTTTGTTTTCATATTGGTTTTTTTTTTTTTTTTTTTTTTTTGTATATTTGGATACAAGTCTGCTATGGCCTGAATCTTTATGACCCCTCAAAATTCATATGTTAAAATTTTAACACTCAACGGTTATGGTGTGAGTAGGTGGGGCCTTTGGGAAGTGATTAGCTCATGAGTGTGGAGCTCTCATAAATGGGATTAGATTATAAAAATCCACAGAATTTCCTAGTTCCTTCCACCATGTGAGGACACAACAAGAATTCTATGACCCAGAAGAGAGCCCTTTCTCAACCATGCTGCCCCCTTGATCTTGGATTTCCAACCTCCAGAACTGTGAGAAACAAATTTCTGTTGTTTATAAACTACCCAATCTGTAGTATTTAATTTTAACAGCCTGAATGAACTATGACAAAGTATGTGTTTTACAAATACTTTCTTGCAGTCTGTGGCTTGTTGTCATATTGTCTTTACTTTGTCTTTCACAAAGCAAAGGTCTTTAATTATAATAAAGTATAACATCAATTTTTTTTTTCATTCATGAATCATACTTCTGGTATTATATCTAATAACTTATCACCAAACACAGGGTCACCTAGATTTTCTCCTGTGTTTTCTTCCAAGTTTTATAGTTTTGTATTTTTCATTTAGGTCTATAATCCATATTGAGTTAATTTTTGTTAGTTAGGTGTCTATCTTCATTTTTTTTAGCATATGCCTGTTGTAGTGGGTTGAATAGTGCTCTCACCCCCATTCTTGTCTATCTGGAACATAGAATATGATCTTATTTGGAAAAAAGGTCTTTGCAGATACAATTAAGGTGATTTCAGGAAGAAATCACGTTGGGTTAGGGTGAACCCTGAATCCCAAACACCTTGATTTAGGACTTCAGATCTCTAGATCTGTGAAAAATAAATTTCTATTGTTTCAAGTCATGAAGTTTGTGGTACTTTGTTATGGCAGCCCTAGGAAACTAATTAGACACCCAACTGTCCCAGCAGCATCATTTGTCAAAAAGGCCATCCTTGGGGTACCTGGGTGGCTCAGTAGGTTGAGTGTCCGACTTCAGCTCAGGTCATGATCTCGAGGTTCATGAGTTTGAGTCCTGTGTCAGGCTCTGTGCTGACAGCTCAGAGCCTGGAGCCTGCTTCAGATTTTGTGTCTCCCTCTCTCTCTCTGCCCCTCCCCCACTTGCACAAGCTCTCTTTCAAAAATAAACATTAAAAATGTTTAATTAAAAAAGTAATAAAAAAAATAAAATAAGAAAAGGGCTTTCCTTTCTCTGTTGAATTTCTTTGCACCTTTGCCAAAGATCAGTTGACTCTATGTGTGTGAGTCCATATCTGGACTCTCTATTCTGTTCCATTGATCTATTTTTTTTTTTTTTTTTTTTTTTTTTTTTTTTTTTTTTTTTTTTTTGGCCAATTCCACAGAGTATTGATTACTCTAGTTATAGTAAGTTTTTAAGTTGAATAGTGTTAGCCCTCAAACTTTGTTGTCCTTCCATATTATGTTGGCTATGCTGGGTCTTCTACTTCTCTTTATAAACTTTAGAATCAGTTTGTCAATGTCTGTAAATAACTTGTTAAGATTTTAATTGGGATTTCATTGAATCTACAGATCAGGTTGGGACGAACTGATATCTTGACAATATTGAGTCTGCCTATTCACGAACATGGAATATTTCTCATTTATTTAGTTCTTCCCTGATTTGCTCATCGGAGTTTTATAATTTCCCTCATATAGATCTTGTACTTATTTTGTTAGATTTATAACTAAGTATTTCACTTGGGAGCTGCTTATGTAAATGGTATTATGTTTTTAATTTCAAGTTCCACTTGCTCATTGTTGATATACAGGAAAGCGATTGACTTTTGTATATTAATTGTGTGATCCTACAACTTTGCTATAATTGCTTATTAGTTCCAGGAGTTTCTTTGTTGCTTCTTTTTGCTTTTCTACATAGATGATCATGTCATTTATGAACAAAGACAGTTTTATGTATTCCTTCCCAATCTGCATACCTTTTATTTATTTTTCTTGCCTTATTGCATTAGGAAGAGCTTTCAGTATGTGTTGGAAAGAAGTGGTGAGAGGGAGCATTCCTGCCTTGTACCTGATCTTAATGGGAAAGCTTTGAGTTTTACACTATTAAAGTGTAATACTAGCTGTAGGGTTTTTGTAGATATTCTTTTTTTTTTTTTTTTAAGATGTTCTTTCTCAGGTGAAGGAAGTTACCCTCTATTCCTAGTTTACTGTGAGGTTTTATTATGAATTGGTGATGGATTTTATCAAATACTTTTTCTAAATCTGTTGATAGGATCTTGTGACTTTTCTATTTTAGTCTGTTGAGGTAATAAATTACATTAGTTGATTTTCAAGTGTTGAACCAGCTTTGTAGACATGGGATAAATCTCACTTGATCATGGAGTTTATTTTTTTATACTTTTTTAGATTCAACTTGTTTAGAATTTTTGCATATATGTTTATAAGAGATATTGGTCTGTAGTTTTATTTTCTTGTAATGTCTTTGGCATTTTCTCTTTATTCTTTTTAGCATTTCCGTATCTATGCTTACATTATCCATATGTTTTTGCACGTGTCAAACTTTTTCATGAGTCTTTATTATATTAATCATAGTTGACTTTAATTCTCTGTCTGATAATTACAAAATCTGTACTGTATTTGAGTCTGGCTTGGATACTTGCTTTGTCTTTTCCAATTACTTTTATTCTGGGCTTTTAGCATGCCTTACAACTTTTTTTTTTTTTAATCCAGACATGACATGTCAGATAAGAACTAAGGTAAATAGAGCTTTAACTTGGGTTTTATGTTATTCTGACAGGGAGTTGGGTTGTGTTTACTGTTCACTATAGGTTAAGGTATCAAGGGTTTCAAATTCTTGTAGTTTCTTTGTTTTTGTCTCTCCTATTGATGATTGAAGTCTGAGCGTTACAACCATTTCAACTGTAATCCACTGTCATTATATTGGAACCCTACTGCTGTGGTGGGGAAGACTTAAGGAAGTAAGTATTTTAAAATCTTATGTTTAAATTTCACTCTTGGTAGGCCTATGACCCTTGGCTGTGACTTCACAAGTTTTTGTACCTTTTCCCCCTACCTTCCCCACCTTAGATAAGATAGGAAAGCTAGAGGGAACCAGATCTGGGTCATTGTCCTTCCATCCATGTGAGATAAGGTTTGATAAAGTCTTTTCCCCTGGAGAAGGGGACATTTTTATGGAAAATGCACTGGGCTTATTTCAACATGATTACTTTCTCCTTCCTTTGCCAAAGATATGAGGTGAGTTTTCCTGGCTCTTCACTGCGAGAAACTGGCTAGGTTCATGCTGGTGGAAACTATGAATTTTAGGTCCTCCCTAATACTGGAGCCCTGAGGAGTTTGTCACCCTCAAGCTAGTTCACCCTCAACCTCCAGAGATTCATCAAAATTACCATTACTTGTGTTGGTAATTTATGTTTCAAGTTTTGCCTCAATAAATATTTGTCAATAGGTAGTATATGTCAGAAACACTTTTAGAAACTACCTATCAATGGTGAAGAAGATAAGAAAGCTCATTTTCTAGTGGGGAAAGACACAAATAAAAAGATAATTATAAAACAGAGAGATAAGGGAGTGCTATGATAGGGATAGTATCCAAGGTAGTATGAAAGTACATTTCTCTTAATTTATACTGGGCTTTATTTTCAGATTCTCCACATAGAATAAAATACAAAAATAATGAGACAGCTGTATTTGGAGAAAATGTGACGATTTTCTGCAATTTGACAACTCCAGCAGATGTTGTGCAAATTACCTGGCAGAAGATCCAAGGTTCTTCGCGACAAAATATTGGCACATATAGCAATATATATGGAGAAAAGATTCTTCCACCATACAGAGATCGGCTGCACTGTGAGGTCATCGAACCCAATTCCTCATTCATAACTATCCGTGAAGTAACATTTGAAGATGAAGCCTGCTACAAATGTCTATTTAATGTGTTCCCGCAAGGCAGCCATAGTGGACAAATTTGCCTTAACATTATAGGTATGTAAATGTTTTATGTAAAGTCAAAATCAAGGGGATGTGAGCTTTGAAGTTTAAGGTCCAGAGAAAGAATATTAGAGAAGGAAAGACTATTATAGAGGCCATCCATAACCAATCTTTTGTTATACAGAAGAAAAAAAGTGGAAGCCAATGATGGCTACATGACTTTCTGATTTCCACATGGTTCCTGACCAGGCATAACATTTAGGTCTTCTGACCTCTCATCTAAATTTTACACTGCATTGATTTTAATCCAGTAGATAAAAGTCATAAATGGCATCAGAATTTTCACTGGGAAAGAGAGGAAAAGATAAAGAGAGAGTAGAGAGAAAAAAAAAAAGAGGAAAGAAGACTTAGAGAATAAAAATTTACTAACAAATTAACAAAATGTCGAAGGAATAGTGATAGTGACATAGTGTCCCCTCATTATTTTGCTATAACTTTAAAGTGTTGGAGATTTAAAGAATGTAATTTTAAGGTTGAATGAAAGTGGAGATACCAGCTGTTCCTCTTAAATTGGAATAGTGGGTATAAGAGACGAAATTGTGAAGTTTTGCAAAATGTGAGGAGAGGTATCTGAGAGGAACATGTTTACAACATTTCACTGTCATATACAAATTTGGGGAAGTCCATCTTTAACACTTCAGAAATCTTGTGTGACATATTTTTATATTTAATTTTGTGTCTCCTTTTTTGTCTCAGCTGTATCTGAAATAAAAACTGAGCTCCAGTCCAACTTTGACTCTGAAGATTTTCTTAGTTTTATTTACTCAGCTGTGGGAAAACCTGTTCCTCAAATATCTCTTTTCCCATCAAAAGTCTTGATTAATCCACCAGAGGAATACCTTGCTCAGAACCCAAATGGCACAGTGACTATCACGAAAATGTACAACGTCTCCTTGGAGACTGTGAGATCCCTAAGTCTCCAACACCTGATTGTGCACATGGATCATCCTCTAAGGAATGAAGAGAAGATTGTTCCTCTGTCAGTCAAACAAGAATGTAAGTAGAAATAATAATCAACAAGGGAAAATGTTTTAAAAATTCATACCAGAAGTGTTTGTGTGCTCATCTATTTTTAGAAATGTTAAGTCATTGTGGTACTCCTGCATGGTTAAAAGAATCAGGCAATGCAAATGTTCTCTACCCCAGTTGTGTCTCCAGTGGTAACTGTTCTTAAAGGGCAAAGTCTTCATTGATCTCCCTTAACTGCTTTCCACTGAATTTCTGCCACAGGCAGTGAAGACTAGGTTCACTCATACCTCCTTCAACCGTTCCTCCTCCCAATATGGTTCCTTTCTTCCCAATATAGTTCTCTTACTGCTTACCTCTGCAGCCGTCAGCAGCATGGTAAAACCTATTTTTTGTTTCATCCACCATAGAAAGTCTCTCTCAGCTGCCCATTTCTCCTTGCCTGTCTTCCACCCAAGCTCTGTCAATTGTACCCTCTGTTTCAAAGCCGTAGTTAAACAAGGTATGATTTTTCTTAAAACTTTAAATAATTTCAATATATTTATGTTCTGCATTTATATAATTGCCTACAAAATTTAAATAATTGTTTTTATATTTCACCTGCATAATCTTTCAACATGAAACCATTTTGTCTCTATACATTAAGTGTAAATCTGATATATTTAGGTTTTCATTTACCGCCTTATTATTTGCTTTCTATTTTCTGACCTGTTTTATAATCCTTTCTCTCCCTGAATTCTTTTGGATTATTTATTTTTGTTTCATTTACCTCTTCTATTAGTTTGTTAACTATACATTCCTGCACCCTTCTTTAAGGGTTGTCTTGGAGACTGCAACATACATCTCTTGACTTATTAAAGTCTAATATAATTTACTATTTTTACTACTTTTCAGATAATGCAATGGGCTTATATGAATGCCCACTCCTTGTGCTATTGGTTTGTGCATTTTATTTATTTATTTATTTATTTATTTATTTATTTATTTGAGTATAGTTGACACACAATGCTATATTAGTTTCAGGCGCATATTTCGTACATTTTAATTCTTTATATATGTTTAAATGCCAAAATATGTTATTGTTTTTGTTCCTGTTATTTATAATAATATTCTTTATATTTATCCTTTCCATTGTTTTTTCTTTGTCCATGTTCACACTTTTCCTTCTGCCTAAAGAATTCTTTTTTGTTTTTTTCATAGTGAAAAATTATAGATGGCCAATTATTTTAATATTTTTGGTCATAAAATGTTTTAACTTTTGAAGAACATTTTTACAGGATTTCTGATTCCAGTTTGATAGTTATTTCGTATTTTTCATCACATTGACAATGGTATTTTATTGGCTTCAGACTTTCATTACTTTTGTTGAAAAGATATATATCAATTTTATTGCTGGTCCTTTGAAATGTATCTCCCTTTCATCCTGGCGGCTTTTAAGATTTTCTCCTTGCATTTGTTTTATGTCAGTTTTATTATTAGTGCTTTGGTGTCACATCCTTTGTATTTGTCTTGCTTGTGTTTTCCTAAGGTTCTTGAGTCTTTAGTTAATGTCCTTCATCACTTTTGGAAAAAATGTAAACTCAGGAAGTGGGGAGGATAAAATTTCTCCATAATTTGTTACATTCATTCAAGAACAAAAGGCATCACTCGCCATCAATGATATTGGTTCATAAAGTTTGAATGAGTGAAGGACACATCACATTTTTTGGAAGTTTAACAATTTGGGGTACATAACCAGCTACTGGACTATTGGAATAAGTAGCCTACTACATAGTCCAGATGGGCTAAACATAACCTCATTTGAACCTAGGATGTCTCATTAATATTTGAATTAAACAATCTGTGGACTAACCTAAATAAAGTACAAGGTAATAACCAGCACAAAATGAAACTACTACAAAATATAACACACTCAGGCCAACATAAATTATCCTTCCATCATTTTCATGCCTCACTTCCCCAGGTTAACACAACCTGGTTAAAGCAAAGTCACCTCAGTGCTGTGGAATTAGAACAGTGGGAAATTTCCCTAGGGATTCTGATAGTCATGCTAACAGGCCACAGGGTCTCTCCTATGGTCTTACAATGCTGTTTCATGTGATTGGTAGTTTGCTTGTTACACAACTTTAGTTTAACAACCCTTTTGCCCTCAGAATTTGCAAAGTAGTCCTCCATTGTCTTTGATCGTCCATTGTGATTGATGAAAAGTCAAGTGTCAATCAGAAAATTGTAATAGTAAATATTACCATATCTTCTCTTTGGTAATGGTAACCTTCTCATTATCCTTAGAGCTCTGAAACTTTCTACTACTATTTTTAGAGTATTTTATTTATAGTTCTTTAATGTAATTGGCATTTGGTGAGTTCATTCAATTTGGAGACTCAAATCTTTAAACTCTGAATATTCTCTCCTTTCTTTGAAAAATTTCCACCTGTTCACTTAATTTATTCTCTTTTTATAAACCTCAATTAATTGGGCATGAAAACATTTACATTGAATCTTATTTTCATCTTTTAAAAAATATGTCTTTTCTTCCCTTCATAGTATCTGGGAGACTTAAAAAAATATCTTTAAACTTTTTCATTCAAGTTTTTCTTTTTTTGACAATCAGGCTTATAATTTTGAATTGCTTTTATAATTTAAGATTATTTTTATAAATTAAAGTTGATTTAATTTTTTCATACCCTTCTCTTCCTGCTTTAAGAAAGTAATATCTTGTCAAATCTTGTAATTATCTTCTGTTTCTTTAATTATCTCCTCCACTGCCCACCCTTGGGACACTACCACCATTTTAATTTTATTTATGCTTCCTTTACTCAATCTTTCTCACTTTGATTACAGGTTTTATTCAAACTCTGATGAGCCATGACTGCAGCTTTACAGATTTTTTGTGTGTTTTTTTACATCTTGTAAAGAGACAGACTTTTGTTTGTAGAAAGGAGGCAGCAGAAGACTCTAAAAGCCAGAATGGAAGGGCCTATACTCAAGGTGTCTGACCCCCTACCCTAAGTATTCCTAGTATATATTCATTATATTCAATGAATTACTTAACTATTCCTTCTTCCTCTTCCCCTTGTCCTCCTCCTCCTCCTCCTCCTCCTGCTTCTTCTTCTTCTTCTTCTTCTTCTTCTTCTTCTTCTTCTTGCTGAAGGATCAGAGCACCTGGCTGTCCAGAACTGAACTTTCGGATATGGAAATGGGTGCTTTTGAGTGTAAGTTTCATTCTGTGATTAATCCCTCCTTCTTTTGTCATCTGAGTTCTAATGCTGTCCAGTTTCTGTGGGGCTCTCTCTGCAGGTGTAGTCTGTTCTGTGCATACATGAGCCTGCAGCTTCTCTCACCCTGCACCTTCAGAGGCCATTCCTCTATCCACTTCACATCTGTTGTAAATTTGTTTAAATCTCTTGCCAATGAAGATCATTCTTCTGTCTGCTGTTTTTCGCTGAATCAGTTTATTTTTGTTACTATAATTTTAATGGAGTCTTAGGAAGGGTAGAGGTAAATATTTTTGTTACATGTGTTTCTTGAAGCTGAAGTTAATCAGGTCCTCTTTCTGTAAAAATTCCTTAAATCATGAGATTGGAACATGCCCATTGAATAGCATATGTATATATCTCTCATCAATCTATTGGCTGGATTATTATGGTTAATTTCACTTCTCACTAAAATGCAAATGTCTGTAAAGAAGTAATTTGTCAATTCAGAAGATAATTCTTCCTTGCTTAGCTTTGCAACAAATAGTAGGGATATAAATTCCTGATTTTTTTTTTTCTTTTTGAGAGAGAGAAAGCATGTCAGCAGGAGAGGGGCAGAGGGAAAGAGGGAGAGAATCTCAAGCAAGCTCTGCACTGAGCATGATGTGGGGGCTCGATCCCACGATCCTGGGATCATGACCTGAGCCGAAATCAAGAGTCGGACCTGCAACTGACTAAGCCACCCAGGTGCCCCCTATAAATTTCTGGTTTTACTGAAATCTCATAGAAAGCCTTTTTTTCCCCATGCTTTATTATTGCTGACTTTAGTGCTGT